AGCTTGTTCTAAAAATTGTGGTGCCTGGAACATCAGTTCCGGGCAAACAAGGAGTTGAGTAGTTTACTTTGGGACTTTAGGTCTGTTACAGATTTTAATGTAGTGTCCTAAAACTAACAAGCATCTTTATCTATTAACTCACATTTAATCACAATGGGGCTGGAGAAAAGGAACAAAGGTTATGCAGTCCCACATAGCCAAGGAATTTGTCATATTTCCAGAAGCCTCAGTTCCATATTTTGGGGAATGTGAAACCAAGATGTAAGCATTTATTATTTTACTTAATCATCATGTCATCCCTTTCATGTAGGTATTAGTATATTTCATTTTACAGATGAGGCCCAGCAAGGTTAAAAATGGTGTCTAAAGTCACACAACAGTCCAGCTTTTGAAAGCAGGCAACATGAAGCAATATGAATCCAAAGTCTTGGTTTTTCACCACACACACAAACACACATAAACTCACACACACACACACACACACACACACACACACACACAGAGGAAGGTTATTCCTACACCAAACCACTCTTACGTGGTTTCTGATACATGCTTTTGAGTAGAAGTAAAAAGGTAGAATCTACAATTAGCCCACCAGGAATTCCATGAGGCAGGGTATGCCCTTAGGGAAAGTTGTGTGTTTTGTGTCTGGAGCTGTGGGGTTGGGAATTAGCACTCAATATCCTAACCCTTCTTCTGGAAGCATATGTCCAAATATGCATGTAGAAATGTTGGTGAAGTATGGTTTTCATTGGTTTCCTTTGCCAGCTTCATTCTCCACCCATAACCCAAATGACACTCTCAGCTGATATCTATTACAAGAGCATTTGTGGATGAAACCAGGTGGACCTTGGTTTGTAAATGCTGAAAATAGAAAATATGTGTATGGAAAAAGCTTTCCTTTCCTTTTGTAAATGTTTAAAATTTTCAGTGGTTTCACCGCCTGCTGCGCAAGCACAAGGACCTGAGTTCGATCCCTGGTACCAAAAAAAAAAAATTTTCTGCGATAAAACATTCTAAAAGAGCAAATACGAGGAAAAAGACTGAAAAAAGGTGGTGAGCAGTGAGTAAGTGAAAAAAAATTATTTGTCTACCCTTTCCAAATTCCCCAGGCTCTCCAAGAAGGCCAGCAGAAGTCTGTGAGACTAGAGTGGTAGGCCTTGCTGGGGCCCTTATCATCTCTGAGGATGGCCAGGATGTTGCTCATTTCCTTGGCCAGCTGTCTCCTCATTGTAAATCAGGCCTCCATCATCAGACACTGTGATTTGGCCAGAGTTCTGCACCAGGAGCATTTGGACGGGTTTGAGGGCTACTCCCTGAGTGACTGTGAGTGGCACTTCTTTGGCCTCTCCCCTTTTCCTCCTCTCCCATTCATGGCTAGCAGCCATCTTCTTTTCTCTTATCATCTTTCAAAGCCAAGTTCAAAAAGCACCCCCCCCCAAGATGTCTTTCCCAACACTCCTATTCATTTGACAATTATTAACCGAGCACTTGTTATGTACCAAGAACATAATGGTTCTATGGATAGAGATAAAGTTCCTTCTTTCATAGTGTTCACATCCTAGAGGAAAAGAGCAACAATAAATACACACCCACACACATGTACAGGTACTGCTGGTGTAGATAAATGCTTGAAAAAGAATAAAGCAGAGGGAATCACACTATTTTAGAAGGTGAAGTCATATTAAATAGCACTACATGAAAGAAGAAATCCAGGCATCCAAATGCCTGGAGGAAGAACATTTTGGGCAGAGGAACTGTCAGTGCAAAGGCTTCTTCTTCCCGCGTGGTAGAGATTATCCCCCTCTTGCATGGAATTTGGGCACAATTATCTTGTGACATTTTTTTCTTGTATCTTCCACTGTGGCTTTTTAAAGGTGCAAATTGTAATCCTTATACTATAAGCCTTTGAAGGCAACATCTGGGCGTGACCCAGATGAATGTCCCTTGCTGGGCTTTGCATAATTCCTGGCACACAGTAGGTGCTCATTAAGTACAGAAAGCACAGATGAAGGAAGGATTCTGTATTGATGGATGGACCAAAGGATGAGAAGAGAAGCCCATAGGTGTTTATAGCTCTCCAGCCCCACATAGCCCATCAGGCCATGTTCCTTTCCTCTGATTGCTTTTCACCCTTTCTCTACTATTACCTTTCTCACTCAGCTTGGTCCTCCATAAGTCCTGACCTTTCTCTTCCTATTCTAAGGGTTGTGCTTGGCTTTTGTGGAAAGTAACTTCAACATATCAAAGGTAAATGAAAATGTAGATGGCAGCTTTGACTATGGCATCTTCCAGATCAACAGTCACTATTGGTGCAACAATTACCAGAGTCACTCAGAAAACTATTGCCACGTGGACTGTGAAGTTCTGACCAGGGCCCCAGGGTGGGAGAGGTGAGAGAAGAGACAAGGTCTACTCCCAGGACCTCTCTTCCTCTCACAACCAGGGCACATGCAGAGGGACACTTCAGAGAATCAAGGGCTCCTTTATTGAGCAGAGCTTAGCCTGGTGGCCCCCATGCCCAGCCAGGCAAGAATTTCTGCAGATATCTTGGGCCTGAGGTTCAGAAAGGCTCTGAGCAACCAGGAGTAGTAAGGCAGCTACCGAAGCCAATTGGTGGAGAGCATATATATTAAACCCTTTACAATCAGAGCTCATTTTATCCCAGTTTATGTGCCATAGAAATTGTTCGCAATCTCTACTATGTAAACAAGCAAACTGAGACATGGTGCCGAATGCCAAGCAAAAGCTTGAAAACTAAGTTCTAACCACTCAGGAGTACACAGGAGAATGGTCTGACCAAAGTCCAAGGGCAGTATCCTCACCTCAGAGAGGTGATCCAAGAGGATCCAAGAGGTTGACAAGGCCCATGACTCTGCCCTTTACCTCCTCCTTCCTACTCTAACGGGCTCCTTCCCTGAAGAGTCCCCTCACCAGGCAGGACTTTATCTGGGCCTCTGGGGCTGCCTGCTTTGGCATTTCCTCTCCCTAGAAGCATTGCAAACTTTGGGCAAACCATCATCTATCCTAGCTAGGAAGAAAAGTATGGACAGGCCCAAATCTTAGTCTTCTTCCCCTCTTGCTCCTACCCCATTACCCATGATAGCTAGTAACCATTTTGAGTTAGTTATCTCACTGCACCTGGGAGGGAGGCTTTTCCAACCTGGAAAATGCTGAGGCCCTGAGAGGCAGGTCCTGTGCAAGTACTCGTGTTAGCCTCTGTCTTTGGGGTTGTCCTCTGTGATCTCATGGGTGTTCTTTTTCTGTCTTTCAGATGTGCTGAACCCAAACCTTCTTGCAGCCATCAACTGCACAAAGATGATTGTATCTGGATCGGGGGGATGAGGAACTGGTGAGGGGGATACATTGGGGCCAAGTTAGTTGGCAGAGCTCCAAGAAGCAAGGCATGACAGAGAAAGGGGCAGTAGGAAGGGAATCCTGGGCACTCATTTGTAGCAGTCTAGAAAAATGTGGATGAGCTTTGGACTCAGAGTTAGAAAATCTAGGTTGGTTCTTTCTCTGATAGTGTACTAAATCAAACTCTTTTGGTTGCAGTAATAGAAAGCCATTTGAGCTAGTCAAGGGAAACTTATTCTGAGAGCAGGAGTATCTCATTGAGCCCACTGAGCCAAGTTTCAGAGATGGAACAGAACAGAACCAATGCTGGAAACTGTCAGAAGCTTTCCAGGGCAGGTTTCTGCTTCTGCTGGTGCTTTCTCTGCCTGGAGTCCACAAGACTATAGGAGCCCATGTTTATGAGCAAAGCAACCCTAGGATCTGGCTAGGCTCAGCCCTAGTGACAAGAAGGAGGATCTGATTGGTTCAGCTTGGAGCATGTGTTTCCCCTTAGCCCAATCAGCTATAACATGGTAAGAGTTCAACAATACAAATGGGGCTACAGCAGGGGCCCTTTCCCTGTAAATGACAATACTTTCTATTAAAAGCTCATCAGTTAGGCAGACACCACCAAAGCTTTCGTTCCTCAACAGTGGACATTCGGATGGTCACTCACCTTGTCTGTATACATTTATAAACTGGGGATAGAAATAATACCAGTGGGTGCCTCTACAGGTGACTGTGAACATAGAAGGAGTTGGAAGCTCTGCAGACTCAAAACACCATACAGGAAGGGGCACTGATAACTATTAGGTCTTATCCTTTTGGAAGAGTGTCAGTGGTTACAGCTGGGATTTTTAAAAAGTAACTCTCGTGCTTATAAAACAGTGCTGCCTATCTTTAGAGAGAGAGTGAGAAAGAGAGAGAGAGATGATTTAAAAATGTGAATGCATACTGAATGAGGGAAAAGAGTGAATAACAGGAATGAGGGAAATTTAGAGAAAAACCAGGAGACCCAGTAGAAGACAGTAATGAAGGTGCTTTGGCCATTTCTCTGTAGGGAAGACTCGCCAGGACCTGAGTGAGGTGTGTGAAGAAGCTACCAAGTGGAAATAAGAACCATGTCTTTTTTCCTCCACAGGGTAGAATGGAGGTTGCACTGTGCAGGACGGCCACTCTCCTACTGGATGACAGGATGCCGTCTGGGATGAAGCAGGTTCAGGGCCACTGGGACTCATTCTGGGGCCCCTGTCCTCATTTGGGGATTCTTTACTTCCTCTTGCTTCCACCTGGCATTATTTTCTCTCCTTCTCATTCACAAGTAGAACTGACCAGAGCCACAGGGGATAAATGCCTTTCTTAGGCTTTCTCCTTGAACCCATCCAGGCCCCTGTCCTTGTTCCTGTCATTTCCAAACCTAGAGAACCACAATAAATATCTATTATTTTTATTTATTAAAGCACTCCCTGGGCAAAGAATATTGTAATGTACTCATTATTAATTCCACTTAAATTTGGGTATCCACTATAGTAGACAAGTACTAGGTATTACAAGAAGTAAGACAAAACATAACAATTGCTTTTTATGTGTTCATAATTGAGGCAAACAAGCAGAGACATTCATAAACATTACAATGGATGTAATAGAATCTATGGTCATTGTTTTCAAGCAATATCAAGACCTGAGTAATTTCCCCAAAGATAACAATTTTTGAAGTGAAAGAAAAAGCTTAAAAGGGGCCAATGTACCACCACTCCTAGTGCAGAGGAGGAGCCTTCCAGGTCGACTTGCCACTGCTCCCAGCACAGAGGAGGTGAGCCATGCAGGTGGAGCAGCACCCCGCCTCCCCATCAAAATGAGAAGACATGTAAACAAGTCTTGAAACCAGACTTCCAGATCACCTACAGCAACCCCAAAGGGAAACGAGATGGAACACTCTGATACTCAACTGATAGGGAAAAGTTTTAGATAACTTAGACTGAATATTAAAGTAGTTGTAGAAGCAAAATAAGTAATGTGTTCCTTTAAGTTTTGCTCTTCCTGTAACTCTTGTTGTTTAAGGTGACAGTAATCTAACTCTTTAACTAGTAACTTCATTAACCTAACAAAGTTACAATGGCTGGGTGAATTTACAATGTATATGTGCCTATCTTGTGTCTGTGACTTGTAAATAGGAACTGGAATTGCATTTACACATCAAAGACCACTAGGGATGAGATAATGGCTAAAAAGGATATAAAAAGGGAAATGCTGAACAAAGGGGGGCACAGATATTAACCAGGTCAGTTTCTGGTGGTCCTGCCCACTTGCAGCAAGTAGAAATTTATTATTTTACCCGAATTCTGTGTCTCTGTGTATTTCTTTCTGAGATTTCTGGAACATTTGGTCCCCTGACTGGGAATTGGGAATGAAATAGCCCTTTTGGGCATTGGCCCGAACCCCAGCAGAGGGAGTGGCTCTCCTCAAGAAGAAAAGTGTGCCCCTGGGACTAATTTCCTAGGCTCCCCAGCAGGACACAGAGACCCGCTCACTGGTTGAGGATTGCCCAAACCTGAGATGGAAGACGACAGAAGGAGGGCTGTTGCTCTTGGTGTCTCATCTGTCCCTTTCCTTTGCTGGGTGAGAAACCCCAGGAAACCCTCTAGTTGTTAACTTTTGGTTTCACTTTGTGAATATGTATTTTGTAACTTTGGGGAAATACAGCACAGGGGTCTGATCACCCCTTGTGCTTTGCCATTTGGGAAGATAGCCCCTCCCATTTGTTTTGGTTCACTTTGTGAACTTTGGGCAAAAATAGGGCAGGGGCCTGATCACCCTTTGTGCTTTGCCATTTGGGGAGGTAGCTTCTTTCATTTGTTTTGGTTATGGTTAGGGGGTCACCGGGAGGGAAAGTGATAACTTCTGAATAAATGAGTGAGTGAAAGAGTTCTGGATAGGAGTGTGTGGAACAAGCTACAGAACAAGACAGAGGGAGGAAGCACTTGAGCTTAAAGAGTCCTCTGTGGAACTTGTGTGTAGTCTGTCTTCCGGTTCTGTGGTCATGTTTAACAAAGACAGTTCAGTGAGCTTACATGACAGCCTACCTTAGCCTGAACAGACCTTAAAGTGGCCGAGAGGCCCACAGCCAGGCAGGCGAGAGAGTGATCTCCCACCTTTGTTTGTCTTGCGTCTCCATACAAGGGTACCCATACACACACCAACACTCTGATTGGCCCATCATGGGGACAGAAACAGCTCGTCCTACTGTTTTGGAATGCATGCTTAAGAATTTTAAGAAAGGTTTTCCTGGAAATTACGGTATTAAGATGAAACCCCAAAACTTAGAGCCTTTTGTGAGTTAGAATGGCCCAAGCTTTGTCCAGCTTGGCCAACTGGGAGATCCCTAGGTGAGGGTCTTATCTGGTCCATCTGGCTAACAGTCACCACCCCTGGATGGGAACATCCAGATCAATTTCCCTATATTGATTTATGGCTCAAATTGTGCCACAGAATGCCTCCTTGGCTTCATAAGTGTGCCCTGGAAGCAAAAAGCAATATCCTGGTCGTCTGTCAGAAAGGGGACAGTGCTGAAATGAAACCAGTCCTTTCAGATCCAGACTGAGAGAATTTAGACTTTCCCCCTCCTTTTGAGTTGCTAAATTCACAGGTGCGGAGGAGGTGGGGACAAAAGCATGAGAACTGCTTGGCTTCAGAGTACCAGAGGGTGCATGCTGTGGTCAGACTCAGAGAGGATCGAATAGGGCTTACACTCAAATTTTAAAAAATTGAAAAGAGAAAATAAGTAATGGATTGAAAACAGCCAAAAAAGCTCTGAAGGGCATAAAACAAAGCCAGAGAAAGTAAGAAATTTTACAAGGGTTACAAATTTTAGCTAATTGATAAATGTATCTGTGTTTCAGTTTGAGTTGATGTTTAATTGGTGTGCTTAAAGTATTTCTGGTACATTGCAAATTCTTCAATTGTAATTATAGAGTTAACTTGCTCTTTTCTGTACTTTGTTGATAAAAAAACACTCAAAGTTACTACTATTCTATTGGCAGCTAACCAGATTTAAAGTGTAACAATCTGAGAACAAAAAAAGAGACACTTTAAAATTTTAACAGCTAAAGACAAGTTTGTGTTAAAAGGTCTACGGTGAGATAAAAAATATATATTAAAAAGCTATAAGTAAAAGAGATACAATTTTGATGTAAAAAATTTTGTATGTTTGTCTTGTTAGAAAGATAAAAAGAAATATACAAGACCAGAAGGCCTTGGTATGTCAAAAGATGTGTGAAAGTGATTTATCAAAAAATACATGTTTGTTTGTTGGTTTCAAGTTTGTTATAAAATGTTTAAATATGTTTACATTGGTTGTCATCAAAGGGTTAAATTCTAAATATGTTATTATAATATGTGTACATTAGTCATCTTCAAAGGATTTAAGAGCCAACAGGTTACAGTATGACCTCCTCCTTTATAGTGAGTTAGAAAAATAGACTGTTGGGAAAAGGCACAAATATGTCAGACGAAGGTGCAGTATTTGAGATTTGACTTAAAAAAAAAAAGACAAAGGAGGCTAGGCCCAGAGAAAAAGAAAGTCATTTATTCTTTGCCAAGACCCCTCCAAAATGCTTCGATTATTTGATTCCATTTTTGCTACCCATTGTCCTAATTGGGAGGACTGTAAAGAACTTTGTAGGACTTTGTTAACCTCTAAAGAAATGCAGAGAATTTTAGGAGAAATTAAAAAGATCAATGCTCCTAGGGCGGCAGGCACACAAAATCCAGATGCTTGACATGAAGAGCAATTTCCAGTGAATGAACGGCCCAATTGGAACCCCAACACCCCAGGAGGCCAGGACAGCTTAAGCAATTATCAGACGGCCCGCCTGGCAGAGATATGAGCCATAAGTAAAAGGCCTACAAATATGATTAAAGTGCTGGAAACATGGCAGGAACCTGATGAGAGCCCTGAGAGATTTTATGAGTAGCTCTGTAAAGTTTACAGAATGTATACACCTTTTTGATCCTGCTGTTCCTGATAACCATCAGTTAATCAATACGACTTTGTGACTCAGTCAGCTCAAGATATTAGAAAGGAAATTCAAAACCAAGAAACTTGGGAGCATCTGAATAGAACACAGTTGCTACAACTGGCTAGGAAATTGTATGTGAATAGAGTCAGCAAGAGATAAGGAACAAAAGAGAAGATGAATGAGATGAGGCAGCTGGGGGAGTTTCGTGGGGTGACAGGCTTCTGTAGAATTTGGATTCCTGGTTTTGCAGAGATCACTAAACCTCTTTATGAAGCTCTAAAGGGAAAAGAAAAAATCATTTACTTTGGGCTATAGAAAAAAAAAAGCTTTAAAAAACCCCCTAAAACTGACCTTAGCAGCTGCACCTGCTTTAGGGATACCAGATGTAAAGTGGCATTTTGTCCTATATGTCACGGAGAAGAATCATGTGGCCGTTAAGAGTATTAACCCAAGAAGTAGGCCCATGGAACCAACCAGTGGCATACTTGTCTAAGAATTTAGATTCAGTAGCAAAAGTGTGGCCTTCTTGCTTTAGGGCCTTGGCGTCTCAGTTTTATTAATCCAAGAAGCAGACAAGCTGACTTTAGGACAGGAATTGACTGTGCAGGTTCCACAAGCAGTCTTGAAACTGTTGCACATAAGAGGGCATTGATGGCTCTCAAATAATTGGATTACTCAGTAACAAGCCCTTCTCTGTGAGAACCTCCACTTATGGTTTATTCCTGTAAGAGCTTTAAATCCTGTTACCTTCTTGTCCATGGAGACAGGCCCTCCCGATCATGACTGCTTGAGTGTCACTGATGAGCTCTTTTCCAGCCACCCTGACCTACAAATGACACCCTTGTCTGATGCTGACCACATTCTGTTCACTGATGGGAGCAGCTTTGTAGAAGATGGGGTTCATCATGCTGTATATGTGGTAACCATGAAGGATGAGGTGATCCTAGTTAGGGCCCCTTCCTAGTCGGCACAGCATGCTGAACTTTGGGCACTCATACAGGCACTCTGATGGGCAAAGGGTGAAAAGGTAAATAGATATACAGACTTTCGCTATGCATTTGGTACATTGCACATCCATGGCATGATTTACTGAGAGAGGTCTTCTCATGGCAGAAGGGAAGCTAATTAAAAATAAATAGGAAATTGTACAGTTGCTAGAGGCAGTGTGGAAACCTAGCAAAGTCACAATAATACATTGTTCAGGACATCAGAAAGGCAAAGACTTCATTACACAAGGTAACAATAAAGCTGACGCTGAGAGCAGAGAAAGACAACACACTCAAAGCCCTGCTCTCATCACTCCGGAGGCTGGTGAGTCAGCACACAGCTGAAGAATGGAAGCATCAACAAGGACGACATGGATTATTGTGTTGTGTCAGATCACCACTGCTTTAAATTTCTTTGTTTTCAAATTGCAGGTGTTTAGGCCTAGTAATGAAAAGTTTGATGAACAATATGTGACTTTTAAAATGGTAAAATGGGAACTGGAAGTCTATCTGTTTATAATATTCTTTGATGCCTGCCCAAAAGAACATTATGGGGGATCTGGGGTAATTTCTGACTGTGGGGGCTATTCTAATGAGAAATTGTATTGCAAAGAGAAAACACAAGTTTGGATCAATGGTTCCCTTGTTGGATGAGCCACTGGTAATTGTAACAATTGCAAAC